AATTTAATGCTCACAAAATGAGACATAAACCAGGTGAGCAGAAAGAGGCAAAACTGATTTCGTGGGATGGGTCTCCAGGTTGCAATAGGAAGGGGGCCAAAAGAATCCGAAGCAAGTAGAAACTTACAAAGATCTGCATCTGCTCAAATACAGGCAGTCCTTGACTTGCAACCATTCATTTAGTGACGGTCTGAAGTTACAACGGAGACTCTCCTTCATCCAGGTAATCATTGTCCCAAAAGTGCTTTTTCCAAAAGGCAACTGAACTTTCTTTCTTTCTTTCTTTCTTTCTTTCTTTCTTTCTTTCTTTCTTTCTTTCTTTCTTTCTTTCTTCCTTCCTTCCTTCCTTTCTTCCTCCCTTCCCTCTCTTCTTCCTTCCTTCTTTCCCTCCCTCCTTTCCTTCTTCCTTCCCTCCCTCCCTCCTTTGTTTCTTCCTCCCCTCTCTTCTTCCTTCCTTCTTTCTCTCCCTCCTTTCTTTCTTCCTTCCCTCCCTCCTTTCTTTCTTTCTTCTTCCTTCCCTCCCTTCCTTCTTTCCCTTCCTTCCTTTCTTTCTTATTTCCCTCCTTCTTGTCTTCATGTCTTCCTTCCTTCTTTCTTTCTTTCCTTTCTTCCCTCCTTCCTGTCTTCTTTCTTTGTTTCTCTTCCTTCCTTCCCACCTCTTTTTTCTTTCTTTCTTTTTTCCTTTCTTTCTCTCTTTCCTTTCTTTCCTCCTTCCTGCCTTCCTTCCTTCCATTTTCTTTCTTTCTCTTCCTTTCCTTCCTTCCTTCGCTTTTCTTTCTTTCTTTCTTTCTCCTTCCTTCCTTCTTTCCTTCCCTTTCTTTCCAAAGTCTAATAGGGGCACCTCGTTTTCTTCACAACCTCATGATTCACTTAACAACCATGGCAACAGGGCTGCAAAATGGGACAAAACAACTGTCTTGCTCGGCCACAGTAGTCCCAGTGATGGCCATAAATCGAGGACTACCTGTAGGCCCTAAACATGTGGGTCACATAGCTAGAGAGCCAGGAATAAAAAAAAAAACAACGATGCCCTTGTTGCTCCTAAAAAGAGATGAAAATGCTTTGTATCTTAGAAGCACCGAGACGCATAAACCGTCG